TTTGATCTCATGGTGGAACTTGCAGATGTATACAAGATCCGGCTTCCAAAGTTTACGGTATGAATCTGTTGAAATGCGGAAGCCGAATTACCCAAAAATTTAAAAAAAAAAAATTCTTTAATTCAATAAACAAGAACATCTAGATGTTTACGTGTATGTTATATCAAGAATAAGGGATTCGAATTTTTACTCAAATTCTATGACCAATTCTTGAATTAATTCCGAATCACGAACTTCCAATCTTTTGGATCACGAGCTTCCAGCTTTTTTAATTCCAAGAATTTGAAGCTTCAAACCTCCAAGTCTTCTATGATATTCTCCAAAGTCTAGACTACACTGGTGGACGGACACTTTCTTCTAATTAAATCAAGAGAACCGAACAATTGTAGCAAGAAAATAATTCTCTCTCTTTCTCTTTCTTCAAATTTAAACACCTTGAAATTATGTATTATGATTACCGTTCAATCCCATAGGATGTTTAGGTTCCATCTAATCTCTATTTATAGAGATATAATAGTTTCAATCCTTGTACAATAATAATTTCATATTCAAATAAGAGTTCTAATTAAAATACAAATAGGAGCTTTAATTATAATTCAAGTAGGAGTTTTAATTAAAGTTCAAATTCAATTAGTTTACATTTAATTACATGTGTAGTTCTACAACTTCAATTACAATTATAATTAAATTTACAACTTTTATAGTAATTACAACTAAGTACAATACTTTAATATAATTACAATTAAGTCCAAAATTATTAAAATTACCATAATTAAGTTCCAATACTTTATGAAGCTACCACAGGGACCTGATAGAACATATATTATCCAAGCTCCAATATTTAGTTCCTGTCTAGTCGACTCTAGACCACTCAATCTAATTATTAGTCTTTACTTTTTCTACTAAAGGCAAAAGATCGAACTCTTGGAATATATAAAATCGCAGAAGCTAATAAATATGTAACTTTCCTCTGACATGCCGTAATGTATTTTGTCCCGTTTGAGATTCGATAATTAGGTACGAGCATAAATGACCTTTTATCCTAATTATTTTCACTAATTTAAGTATCACTTTCTGTGGTCCTGTGAGCTAATCACATATGTCGATTTAGTCCTTGCTAAATACCGAGTTCAGATTTTAAATGTTCAACAGAAAATACTTAAGTAATCATTTTACTCATTTTTCAAGGTGACGTTTTTCGACATGAGTTTATGTTCTCTATTTTGCTCATTCTCACTCATCGATATATTTGACCAATCAAATTGATGTCGCCCATTGATGAATCAAAGAACCATTAAAATCACGAAAAGATATACATCACCATGTTAAGAGATTTACATTAAATACACAATGGTCAAATGGAATTTAATTCTCCTCACAGTGATGCTATAGAATTTAACTCGACACGTGGTTTCGTTTGATACATTCTAAGTGTACTAGTGTCATTTTTAACTATTTTTGTGATAAGGGTAAATCACAAATCTGAATAGTAAATCAGTCAACACCACAGACTTTCAGTAGAAGATGTCAATCCTTATACATTGGTTGTGAACAAATAAATTATGACTAAAATATAAGTTGTTTCACATTGTACTTTTCAACGCAAGTACTTAGCTTATATTATCACAAGTGATCATATGCACTTTAATTCTTATGTTCAATAATAAAAAATGCAATAAATGAATAAAAGAACAATTTATTTGTTATAAATTATTATTTTATCATAGTAAAATATAGTAATATACTATATGGACACACAACCCTACATAATCATTTTATGTTTTTTCCTGTACAACTAGAGGGTATGTACACAGAGGGATGTATTCCTTCTGCTTGGCAATGTTTCCTTGCTTTAGGTTTTCTGTTATCTTATGAACTAATACCAGCCATTACATCTGTGATCGATATCTCTACCCCATCTGTTCCGTATGTGATGCATCCTACTTAAGCCTCTCCAACGCTTCTTCTCTTTTCTTCTATTATTTCGTTTTATCACAACATAATCATAAAATAGGTAAAATCTATGGCTGCTGTTCAGCTGTAATTTAACTCATCATTTTTTAGCCTTTTCTAGATATATTGGAAGGAATTGAATAGTAGCACATTAAATTTTCAACGTCTTTGGTTAGTACAAGGTGCAGAATAAATTGATGCATCATTTTGAAGCCTATATTCTTTAATTCTTTGGGCACGTTCCTAGTTGCTGGCTAACAATCATATATTTATATATGCGTGTGTGTGTGTGTGTCTTGTAATCAAGTGATGAATATCTCCATGCATGTTCAGGTTAAGGTGGCTGTTCAGTACATGCGACGAGCAATCCGCAAGAAAGCAAAATTTGATGTCAATCGCCTTGACTGCATACAGGTCTGTGTTCATCTTTTGGATTCCCGAGAACGTTGAATGTCCCTTGATGCACATTTTCTGACCTTATGGAAAATTGTCATTCAGAGAACTAAATAAATCCATATTCATGCAATAATAGATTTAACCTGGAAATTGTAACCGATTTTATCAATTTTCTTCTGCTCAATTTATAGAGCTCTAAACTAGCATTTTGGTACTAATGCCACTTTATTTTTTTATGGAACTAATAGGTTGCACCAAAGACATTTATTCCAGCTTTATTTGGACATGCTAAAGATGACAAGTTTATTAATCTTGGCCACTCCGAAGCCATCTTTAAGTCATATGCGGTATGGAAAGATTCTACGGATCTTGGGTCGTAACTTAATGATTTGCAATGTAATAATTTCTTGATGCTGTGCAGGGTGATAAGAACATTATCAAGTTTGATGGCGATCACAATTCTTCTCGACCTCAATTTTATTATGATTCTGTATCAATTTTCTTTTATAATGTCCTTCACCCTCCTCGACCTCCATCTGCATATCCTACTAAGGTTGAGAAATGTTATGATTTGGGAGACCTGAAGGGCAGTGCTAGCAGGAACGAGGTAATTTCTGCTGCATTTCATTATCTTTCCACAATTTTTCTATTCAGAAAGTATAGACCGATCTTTACTTTTTGTACGAGTATGATCAGCAAATGGAGCATTGATTTTTTTTCTTTATCTTTTTAGTCCCTTAACAAAGTTTGAATTGACTAGACATAACTTTGGTAAAATACAGTGTGTTCAGAAGCTCGAAGTTAAAGATTCTATGGATTTCATATTCCATATTTGATCACACATAATCGATGCGCATTCTGTTATTACTGTATTACAATGCCAAAGGATTATTCAAGCCTTCAACTCAATGAATTGACACTTAACATGTAATTTCCCAGAATCTTTTATACGAGATTATAGCCGGTCTTCAGAATGGCAGTACTGACGCGGCAAGCTCATCTTCTTTACCACAAAGCATTGCAACGATGAAGTCCGTGGGGGCACTCCTTTCTGACATTGCACCAGTTGCTACTGTAAATATACAAACCTGTAGTGTTCATTTTATTCAGCTCCTATATTTCTTAATCAAAACGTTATGTTTTGTTTTCAATGGATTTCTTAGAGCATGTTTGGAACTAAGCCTTAAAAAAGTAAAATTCATTTTTGGATAGTAAGTAAAGGCTTAGAGCTTGTTTGGATTAGCTTAATAGTTACTCTTTCCTTTTTTAAGGCTTAGACAGGCATGCTATTAATACTTGTCCAGAAGATATGACTTTATTTATAGTTGCAAGTGAGAAAAATATGGCTTTTCCCAGATGAGAAGAAAACTGGATTCTTGTAACAGGAGAAAAATTGCTCATACCTTTTGTTTTCTACGTTAATTGATTACTCCAGGATTCCTTAGTTACCGAAGGCAATACACAGAGTGGCAATAGCCCGTCACTTGTACAGGTATTTAAATTTACTGCATGATCCAATATGGGATTTGTGGTACTTGAAGTTCACTAGAGTTCTGAAATGTATTTCTTAGGACAAGCTAAGTACCCAAAATGAAGAGTGCTACTCATATACAAGTTCAAATAGAGAGAGTTGGGGAAGATGCTCGTCTCTGGGCAGCGATGATGAACCTTCCATGGATTGCACTAAAGCTACTGACTATGATCAGGTCTCTCTCTTGTGCACATTTTCCAACTGTGCATCGGTATATGCCTTTTTGGCTAAGTTCTATTAGCTCTTTCTTGAAAAAAAATTATATGCTTTTATCACTTCTTCATAGTAATTAATGGATATGCAACACTGGAGAAATATGTCATGCACCTGTATAGGACATTGGATTGAATACTGACAATTGAGTTAGTACCACAGAGAACTACGATAGAAAGTATAAATTTTAGTTTTACTGATTCCTTGCATTCTGTCTTCTTGTTCTTTCCCAATTCTGTTAGCTATTGTTTCTTGATGAGTAATGCAATAATTTAATTTCAGACAAATATAAAGGTGCTTGCCACACCTCTTCGAAATACTCAACAAAGCACATTAAGCTCACCCAAGGATGAAAAGAAGAAAGCATCCATGGAAACGAAGAAGTCCAAGCACGAGAAGTTTGAAAAGCTGGAGGCTCTAAGCCAGCGTTTGCGGCTTTGCATTCTGAAAAGAGTTAAGCATAGGAGACATTGCTCCTCTTGACAACCTTTGTATTGTAGACTAGGAAATTGATTTTATGAAATTGTGTTAATGTCCAGTTCCTTGTTCATTTAAGTTAATCTTTTCGTATTTCCTGTGTATCAATGCATCTCTCTTACTTTTGCTTTATATTTTGAAGTAGGCAGGCCTAGTTTTATGTAATGTCATTGCTGTGTTAGTTGCACTTTATTTCTGCAAATTTGCTTTACCCTCCTTTAGAACGCAAAAGAATGAAGGATGAAATTATAATGTTTATTTGTGGCCCCAATGAAAAAAAGAAGAAAAACAAGTGTATTTGGCAAGTGATGCTAAAGTCAAACTAATTATTTCGTGGAACGCTTTTCCACCCACTTTTCAATCTTCCTTGGCAATTGCCCTCCTCTTTTCCTTCCCTCTTAAACAAGGACTTCAGTTGCCTCATTTGAGTTCCCCCTTCCTTCATTCGTTTCCTCCAACTTCAAATGCAATGAAGAAACAAGAAACTCTTAACAGCCCCCACGCCGTCTCCCTTCCCCTTTCTCCTTATGCTAAACATAGCCAAGTACCAGACTGGATAGAAGAATAAATTCTAACAGATCATAACAAAACAAAGTACACTATTCATATTAGGTAGACAAACCAGAAAGCCAACACCAGTGTCGGATGAGCAATGAGCCCATAATCTCATGTAGGGGTGTAAGCTGTTCAATTTTACCGGTTTTTGACAAATTTTCAAACCAAACGGTTTGAGAAAAATCCAAATCTAAACCTAACGGTTTGGTCCGATTTTAAACCGTCGGTTTCACCATATATTTTTTTGTCCGTCTATTTTTATGTCATTAATTCATTGAATTTAATATATATTTATATCTCACTAGTAATAAATCTAAAACAAACTAAGCCCCTGTTTGAACCAAATTTTTGGGACAAAAAAGTGAAAATTTGGATCGTTATTCTACAAGTCTAGCAGCTTTTGATGACCTGCTATTTTATGTGTGAGACCCAACCTCCTTTCCAATAGTCAATTTTTTCATTATGATGATATGAAAAATATGGCTCAAATAGAGGCTAAATATATCTACTATAAATTTAAATATTAATTAAATCAAATTGAAATCACAATAAACTAAAATATAGTTTTTTTTTTGTTCACCTTTTTTAGGTTAATGACGATACAATAATGTTACAATACAAGTATACTAAACTAGATATAAGGTCCAAAAAAATAATGATGTCCAATAAGACCCCGTGATCATCATATCTGAAAAAAAAAAGATATTGATTAAACAAAGAGAATAATCAACTACAATAATAAAGCAATTGTTTATAATATCTAAACATAACAATTACACAAGTTTACATTTGTATGATGTTACGAAACACATTTAATTTCAGATTCTTACCTTAATTTGCTCCAAAAAAATTATTGATCTGAAAATTTATTTGAAGCAAATATTATTACCGAAGGTCTAGGATCTCTTTGTCTCCGATTTGGTATAATGAACTTTAATTCGACTTTGAAGAGGCGTGAAAAATCTGAAAAGAAGTGTGTGGTGCCGGTGGCTCAAAATTGTGTTAGATGTCGACTGGAGTTCATCTAAATTTTGAAGAGGAAAAAGACTTTTGATAGATTATGCTAGTCTTAAAATTATTAAATATATATTAGGATTATTTGATGATGATGATGATGATGATGATGATGATAATAATAATAATAATAATAATAATAATAATATATCTGTATTAGAAAATTAGGAATTGACAAAAATACCCACAAATGACAAAACTATTGAATTTTACATATTTGGATGAATTTTCAAAAAATTTCATTTTTTTATTTTTATATATTTTTTCGCCTGCTCGGTTTGGTTTTAAACCGCAATTAAAATTATCAAATCTAAACCAAACCATTTTGACCAGTTTGGTTTTGGTCAAAACCATTTCATTGACCGGGTCCACGTGGCACCAAATCGACGGTTTTTAAAATGCGATTTCGGTTCAATTTTCCAATTTTGCGATTTTTGCTTACAGCCCTAATATCATGTATTACACATGCACATATTTTCGTCTTGTAGGTGGTGGCTTCTTGTATGGTCAAGAATCACTTTAAATTCTTAAATTGAGAATTAAGGGATTCATCACTCGAAGGGAAGTAGATTAATCAAGAATTTCACGTTTCATTTATGTCGTAATTGAATAATGAATTAAGAAAATCTAAATAAAAAGAAAAAAAAGATAGAATCCATAAAATCTTACTTCGTCTTCACTCGGAACGTGAGTAAGGAGTAGATACTATTGTTTTGGGGGTTTTCTAGAATTTGCAAGCAAGAACTCATTTCTTTATTTGAAGTACCTACTTGAGCCGGATGAAAAGAAACTTTCATGTCCGAATTTGAAAGTGAAAGAAAGGGAACACTTCTCCAAAAGATGAAAGATATTTATCTCCATTTGAAGTCGTGTTGAACTCAATTCTGAAATCCATGAAATATCTTATTCATAGAAAACCTGCAAGCGTAAATAATTGTTGACGAGTAATAGAAATTAGTGAGTTTGAGTTTATCGTTCCCACAAAAAATAAAATCTGATATCTAATTTAATAGCTTTTATCAAATTTGAAGTCTTGTAACATTAAAAGAGATGGTTTGTATGTTTTTTATACTAATCATAAACTAAGAAAGCAAGTACAGTATGTGAATATTTGTATTGGACTCGTGAATTCTCCTTATTACCATTTAATTCATTTCTTAATTCGTAATCTAGTAAATTCATGTATTCAAGACAATTGATAATATACTTTTATTCAATATTCTTTTTCAAGATATATTAAATTTATGTTTAACACGACTTGATCCTATTCCGACTCCAAATTCATATAAAAACATGCATTAATTTACAGGATCTATCACATATAATTGCACATGCCATAAATATTATTTTTAACACCTATTGCTCATGTGTTGATTTTGTCATATTCTGGGCCTATTGTGAATATTACTGCACTACAATAAGCATAATATCTAAATGGTAAACAAGCAATCAAAAAATTCAATGAGAATGCAAAATCAATCAAGAAATACTAAACTAATTTTCTTGAATTAAAATAAACAAATAATAGAGTTTATCGTTCATCCAATACAATGAAAAACTTAGCCTAACATCCGTATGATTAAATTACACAAGAATAATTGGAAAAAATCACTTGAAAATAAAAAAGATGGAAGAAGTAGGAGAAATCAACGACTTGGCTTAAATTTTGAAACCAAACTATGAATCTTCAAAATCATTGTATAATTCGTCCTGAATTGATGTATAGACTTAACCTTCGCCTCCAAAATATGTGAAATATGATGAAATTTAGGTTGGATAGAGGTATTTCACGTTCTGATCGAGTTTTAGTATTTAAAAAATGCCAAAAAGTTTGCATTGAATTGTTACCTAAACAAAAATAAGGAAAATCGATTTTTTTTTTCTTTTTGTACTGAGGCAAGCGCCCTAGATATGGCTGGTTTGAGACTCCTCAGTCGACTCATATTTTGTTGGGACGTGCGCCTTTTCTACATGTTAGGGTGCGCGCCTCGCTTAATTTTCGACCGCTAAACATCTTTCAATATTTTTGTCATAAGTTTCTCTCCCAATATCCTATTGAAGTGATTCAAAGTGCACTGAAAAGCTACATTTCTTTTAAAAATATTATTTTTCCAATTCGAAAGTTTGCTATGCCAAAATTGAATCTCAATATGAGATTGAAAATCTCAAGCATAACCTTTTCCATTGAAAATTAATGTGTGACAATACTTTAACCATACTTCATCCATTTGACTTATTTCCTCATCCAATTGACCACTAGAACTCTCGAATCTTTATTGTGAGGTCCGAAACAACGTTTGAGTATTTAAATTTTAGTCCTTGAACTTTGAATTTGCTTCATTTTAGCCCATTTTTCGTTCTTTCTTTCAATTCTTCGTCCAAACATGAGTTTTTCCTAATAAAAGCAATAAAAAACAAATTAAGCACTAACTTGTTCAAAGAATAACGAATATCATCATTTAATATCTCAAATAGGAGTAGAAACTACACTTATCACACCTATTACACAAAATTCCAATTAAATTTTACTAAGATTCACAGCTGCAAGTTTGCAGAGTGAACCAATAGAAATGATCACAAAAGTCAGCCATTTAACCAGCAGAATTCTACATGACATTGAGTTTAATTCCTAGATGTTCAGATTCACAAAAATATTGCATAGCATAAGGTTTCATTGCTTAAAAGAGGACATCTGAAAAAAAATCATTCATTTGAATAAATAAGAGAAAAAGTTAACTCCTTTCTTAAACCTTCAATCTTTAGTAGTAATGTAACCCTCCTTTCGTCCCTCAAACCCGGGTCTCATCAACTTCTTCTCGCGCTTGACAATCTTCCTCATCTTCTTCTCCTTAATCCTCCCCATGATATTATCTTTCCTCTTTTGTTGTCTGTCATTCTTTATCTTCTCTTGTGACTCCACCCTCTCCTTCCACTTCTCTGCATTCTTCTCCTTCTTCCTCTTCTCCTTCTTCATGCTCTCCTTAATCATTCTTGCATCATCATGCACCTTCACCCCCATTGCTCGGCTGGTTGCCGCTTTCCATGACTCCCTCTCGGCCACACCTATGTTCTCCCTCTTCACCTCCTGCAACCTCTTCGCCTTCTCCAACTCCTTAATCTTAGACATTTTATTCTTCTTCTTCTTCTTCTTTTTCTTATTCTTTCTCTCCTCTTCATCCCCTAATTTAACTTTCCCATATTCAATAATCTCCTCCCCATCTTCCCCCTCATTCACATCTACATTCCCCGCTTTGCTACTCTCCTCCCCATCATTCTCACCCCTCTTCCTCTTTTTCTCAGCATTCTTCACCATATCAACTTTTTTTCCTCCACCTTCTCCCCGATTGCCACGCAATAACTCAATCCTTTTCCGCAATTTCTGCCGCAACTCTTCATAAGTAACAGACTCATTCCTATTTACATTCCCAATTCCCTCCTCCAAATCAATAGACTTAACCCGAGCCTCCCCCGTGTCACCATCCTCTCCCAAATCGCCAAAACTACCCTCCCGATTCAGTTCATCTGGGTCGGATTCCGATATTTTGTTAATTTGTTGTTGGAGAAGGTGGAGGGTGGAGGATGACTTGTTCTCCGGGTCAAGGCGGTTGCGGCGGGCGAGTTTC